AGGCTGAGGCAGGAGAATTGCTTGAACTCAGGAGGCGGAGGTTGCGGTGAGCCGAGATCCCGCCATTGCACTCCAGCCTGGGTAACAAGAGTGAAACTCCATCTCAAAAAAAAAAAAAAAAAATCCCGGTGCCTGGCTGGAAGTGGTGGCTCACGCCTGTAATCCCAAAGCTTTGGGAGGCCAAGGAGGGTGGATCACAAGATCAGGAGTTCAAGACCAGCCTAGCCAACGTGGTGAAACCCCGTCTCTACTAAAAATGCAAAAAAATTAGTTGGTCGTGGTAGCACCCACCTGTAATCTCAGCTATTCGGGAGGCTGAGGCAGGAGAATCGTTTGGACCTAGGAGGTGGAGGTTGCAGTGAGCCAAGATGGTGCCATTGCATTCCAGGCTGACTCTGTCTCAAAAAAAAAGAAAAAAAAAAAGGCCAGGCACAGTGGCTCACTGTAATCCCAGCACTTTGGAAGGCCAAGGTAGGCGGATCACCTGAGGTCAGAAGTTTGAGACCAGCCTAACCAACATGGAGAAACCCTGGCTCTACTAAAAATATCAAATTAGCTGGGCGTGGTGGTGCATGCCTGTAATCCCGGCTACTCAGGAGGCTGAGGCAGGAGAATTGCTTGAACCCAGGAGGCAGAGGTTTCGGTGAGCTGAGATCAAGCCATTGCACTCGAGCCTGGGCAACAAGAGTGAAACTCCATCTTAAAAACAAAACAAAAAATCCCCGTGCCTGAGCCACCCACCCATCACTGGAGTGGCCCAGGCATCAGTGGGTATTTTTTTTTTCTTGTTTGGTTTTGTTTTGTTTTTTGAGACAAGGTCTTACTCTGTTATCCAGGCTGGATTGCAGAGGTGTGATCACAGCTCACTGCAGCCTTGACCTTCAGGGCTCAAGAGCCTCCTACCTTAGCCTCCTGAGTAGCTGGGACTGCAGGCACATACCACCATGCTGGGCATCCCCCCTGCCCCAATAAAGAACAGGTCTTACTATATTGCCTAGGGTAGTCTTGAATTTCTGGACTCAAGTGATCCTCCTGCCTCATTCTCCTATAGTACTGGGATTATAGGAGTGAGCCACAGCACCTGGCCCACCAGTGTACCTTTTTTAAAAATATATATATTTTATTGTACTTTAGGTTCTGGGGTACAAGTGCAGCTCATGCAGGACTGTTGCATTGGTACGTGCATGGCAATGTGGTTTGCTGCCTCCATCCCCCCATCACCCATATCTGGCATTTCTCCCCATGTTATCCCTCCCCAACCTCCCTACCCCCCACTGTCCCTCCCCTAGTCCCCACCAACAGACCCCAGTGTGTGATCCATCAGTGTACTTTAAAGCTGCCCTGGGATTCCAATGTGCAAGATTCCAAGGTGAAGAAGCGCAGCTCTAGATGGGCCAACTCCAGTGTCACCTCCTATTCTCCTTTTGTTCTATTTGTTTCTTCGAGACAGAGTCTCACTCTTCACCCAGGCTGGAGTGCACTGGTGTGATCTCAGCTCACTGCAACCTCCGCCTCATGGGTTCAAGTTAGTTTCCTGCCTCAGTCTCCAGAGTAATTGGGATCACAGGCAGGCGCCACCACGTTGGCTAATTTTTGTATTTTTATAGAGATGGGGTTTTGTTATGTTGGTCAGGCTGGTCTCGAACTCCTAACCTCAGTTGATCTGCCCACGTCGGCCTCCCAAAGTGCTGGGATTACAGATGTGAGCTACCACACCTGGCCCCTATTCTCCCTTTGACTTCCAAGGTCAGCTCCCACCATGGCCCCTCTCCCTGAACCTGTGCTGGCCATGGCCTCCTTGTTGGAGACCCAGTGGCCTCTGCAGGGGCCTAACCCCATCAGCCACTCTTCTCCTTGCTGTCCCCACTCCGCTCATCCTGCTGCTCTGACAGAGTCTTCTCTGACCACTGTGTGTCCAGTATTCTCTCTCCCTCCTGCTCGGCTCATTACCTGGCCAGGGGTTTAATCAGATACTGATGAATGTGTCCAGCCTGGACCTGCCTTAAGACTCAGCCCCATAAATCCAGTGGCATCCACAGCTGGAGGTCTTGTGAGCCCCTCAAACTTACCATGGCCCCATGTGAGCAGGTCACCCCTCCTCTTTCTCACCTGCTTCTTGTCCTTAGCGCCTTGTCTTCTACTCAGGTCCCAAGCCCAGAGCCTAGGCCCTCCTCTCCCGCCCTGCCCACACCTTCTCCATCCAGCGTATTTGTCAGCTGCTTGGCCTCTGTCCCCTCAGCCCCTTCCACTGGCCTGGCCCTGAGTCACCCTCTCCACCTCCTGTCCACCCCTGTCACCATCTCCCAGTCACAGAGACAGCCCCCTTCAACAGCTCCCCTGTAGCCCCCATGACCCAGCTCCTCCTGCTTCACCTGCCTTGCTTCCTACCACACAGCCGTGTGTCCAGGCTCAGCAAGAAGGCAAGTCTAGGAACCAGAAGGTGTGAGCTCCAGGAGTGGGGAATGAAGCTGTACAGGCAGATGCCCACCTGCTCCCACATCTGCAACACACAAGAGTGACACACAGGAGTGACAGGTGTGACACAGGAGTGACAGGTGTGACACAGGTGAAAGAGGCAAGTGGTACAAGATCATTCATCAGACAGCCAGGCACCAGGAAGCTGGGGGACAGGGGTGGTGATGGGCTGTGAACTGTAGCCCAGGGGTCCTCTAAATCTACTTTGTTCAGTCTGGAGCCCTCCTTGGTCTCCTGGGTCCCTCCACGGATGCCTCTCTCCTTTGGACGTTCAACCTCCATCTTCCCACCTCCTCTCTCTCTTGTCTTCCTTCCTCCAAGTCTCCTTCTCTTGCCTTTCCATCAGCCCGAGGCCCATCCCCGGCCCTCTGGGCCTCAGTTTCCCGCTCTGCATAATGAGGCTAACAAAAGTATCTACTGCCCTGGGGTGCTGTGGGAATTTCATAACCTTGCATCATGTCTGATGTGCAGGGGTAACAGTGGCTTGAACCTTGGAGGGACCAGATGTGATCAGGCCCCAGGCCTTCACCTGCCCTCATGTCAGTAACACACCCCACGGCCTCCACATCCCCAAGCCCTGGCACAGACATCCTCACTCAAGAATGCGTCACGTTTTCTTTCTCCATCCAAAATCACTAACCTATCTGCTTTTAAAAGCTGAGCTCAGCCCGGGCTTGGTGGATCACTTGAGGTCAGGAGTTCAAGACCAGCCTGACCAACATGGTGAAACCCCGTATCTACTAAAAATACAAAAATTAGCTGGGTGTGATGGTGGGTGCCTGTAATCCTACCTACTCAGGAGGCTGAGGCAGGAGAATTGCTTGAACCCAGGAGGTGGAGGTTGCAGTGAGCCGAGATCGTGCCATTGCACTCCAGCCTGGGTGAAAGAGCAAGACTCCATCTCAAAAATAAAATAAAATAAAAATAAAGCTGAGCTTAAATCTGAGCCTGGGCAGAAGTAATCTTCCCTCCTTGCCCTGCCAGAGTTCCCTGTGCTGGTGCCACTCACAGTATTCACTTAGAGAGCGTGCCTGGAGAGCTGGCTGTAGGCTGGGCTCTATTCAAAGCGCTATACTAGCGGTGACTCGTTTAATCCTCACAGAAACTCTTGTGAGGTCCATACTGTAATCCCTTCACAGATATGGCTTGGAGGCACAGAGAGGTCAAGCAGTTGTCCAAGGCCACACAGAAGATGTCAAATCCAGGACGTGAATCCCCACAGTTTGGCCCCAAGTCTTTGCTCTTAACTACTCAATACGCCACTTGTCCACAGGCAGAGGGGCATGGGAATCCTAATGACAGAGTGGCCTGCTGAGCACCCACTCTGTGCCAGGCACCATGCTGAGCACTGTGGGTGGTTAACACCCCAGACCTCCCTGCACCGAGCCACTGGCCACCTGTGGTTTGCATCTGAGCACAGTGCTTGCTGGCTGTTGGCCCTCAGCACTGGCCCCTGGCAGGAGCACACTCTTGGCCCCTCTCCCTGGTGGAACTCATGCCCTCAGCCTGTCCAGCACGAGCTTGGCTCTGGTGACTTGTGGACTGACTTCCCTTGGGATATAGTTGGAGTCTCTAGCATCTCTCTGCTGCAGTGTTTAACCCAGCATCTGCTATCACAAAAAGTCACAGACTGGTGGTCTACGCAGCTGTGGAGGCCGGAGTCCAAGGCTGGCTGCCGGGTTTCCTCCGGAGGCCCTCTCCTAGGTCTGTCGGCTCTTCCGCCTCCTGTGTCCTCAAGTGGTCATTCCTCAGCATGTCTGTATTGCCATTTCTTCCTCTTAGGACACCAGTCATATAGGATTAGGGCCTACTCCTCTGATCCCATTTTACCTCAGTCACCTCTTTAAAGGCCATGTCTCCAAATACATTCCAAGGTACTACGGGTTAGGACATCACCGTGTAGTTGTCAGAGGGATATAAGTCAGCCCATGACACCCAGGGTTTCAAACTCAAATGCCAGGCAGGAACACGTATGAATGAACTGGGCTGGGACAGACTTGGCCTCCTCATTCATTTGTTCCCACTTTTGAGGGAAACACAGGTAAAACTACCTCACTTTCCTCTTTACTATGTGAAATACAAGGACATGGACATTTGTTCATGACTGTATCCTAGCTTTCTAGAACAAGTGCCTGGCTCCAAGAAAGTGCTCACTAAATCTGCTGAGCAGGAGAATGGACAGAGCGGCCCTGGGCACTGGGGAGTGGCGGGGATCATGGTGAGTCCTGGCCAGGGGGTCAGCAGGCACTTGGCTCCAGCCAACTGTTGTCCAGTCTCCTGGAATCCAGACTTACATAAATCTCTTTTTCAGTGCTAGCAACTAATTCACAAAAACTAAAACCATCCTGCAGACCTGTTTGCAGGCCCTGCTGTCTGCCTAGGGCGCGCACCCTGGGCCAGCAGAGCAGGGCCTCCCCCAGCTCAGCCTGGGACTGCTGGGCTCTCACTCAGGAGACAGGAGGCCTGGGGGCTGGGACTGGTACACCCAGCCACTCAGGGCCCACCACCCATGGTTGCCTCTGCAGGAAGGCGATGCGCTGGGCGCCATGGAGAAGCTGTGCCGACAGCTGACATACCACCTCAGCCCCCACTCCCAGTGGAGACGGCACCGGGGGCTGGTGAAAAGGAAGCCACAGGCCTGGTGAGTTACAGTCCCTGGGCGGGTCTACGCCAGGCTGAGTGTGTGATACAGGGCACCCCTCCCGGGAATATAGTTCTGGACAGGGGCCAGAAGGGGTGGTCATAGAAGCTGCCTGAAGGAGGTAAGATGGAGAGGGTGGGGCGGGGAAACAGCTAGAGGGGGACGCTGGTCTGGTGAGTGGGAGCTGGGGAGCACGGGCCCACTGAGATGGGGTGCACAGGAGGAAAATGTGAGAAATTTGTAATTCCTGGTGTACTAAAAGTGGGCACTCCTGGCCAAGCACAGTGGCTCCTGCCTATAATCCCAGCACTTTGTCAGGCTGAGGCAGGTAGATCACTTGAGGTCAGGAGTTTGAGACCAGCCTGGCCAACATGGCAAAACCCTGTAAAAATATAAAAATTAGCCAGATGTGGTGGCGCATGCCTGTAATCCCAGCTATTCAGGAGGCTGAGACAGGAAAATCCTCTGAACCAGGGAGTTGGAGGTTGCAGTGAGCCGAGATCACGCCACTGCACTCCAGCCTGGGCAACAGAGTAAGACTCCGTCTCAAAAAAAAAAAAAAAATGTGGGCACTCCCTACTGAACTCCCCAGTTATCTTGGATGTCCCAGGGGGACCTGGACCCCAGCCATGTCCCTGGTCCACACAGCAGCAAGAGGTTTCAGCCTCCCGAGTAGCTGGGATTACAGGCACACGTCACCATGCCTGGCAAATTTTTTTATTTTTAGTAGAGACGGGGTTTCACTAGGTTGGCCAGGCTGATCTTGAATGCCCTACCTCAGGTGGTCCGCCTGCCTTGGCCTCCCAAAGTGCTGGGATTATAGGCGTGAGCCACTAAGCCCAGCCCATTCATTCTTTTATTTTTTTTTTTTATTTTTTTTTTTAACTGTAACTCTGAGACATTTTATTATAAAAAGCTAGTACTCATATACATAAAGTAATATGTACTTAAAATTCATGATACATTTACTTCATTTTTTAGCTTGACCTTCTTTTTTTTTTTTTTCTTTTCTTTTTTTTGAGTCGGAGTTTCGCTCTTGTTACCCAGGCTGGAGTGCAATGGCGCGATCTTGGCTCACCGCAACCTCCGCCTCCTGGGTTCAGGCAATTCTCCTGCCTCAGCCTCCTGAGTAGCTGGGATTACAGGCACACACCACCATGCCCAGCTGATTTTTGTGGTTTTAGTAGAGACGGGGTTTCACCATGTTGACCAGGATGGTCTCGATCTCTTGACCTCGTGATCCACCTGCCTCGGCCTCCCAAAGTGCTGGGATTACAGGCATGAGCCACCGCACCCGGCCAGCTTGACCTTCTAGTAGATCTTTAGCTTCATTGATTTTGGCTACTATATAAGGAGATCCTCCTTTGTCAGGATGATTCAAAAGCATAATTCGTCGATGAGCATCTCTTATTTTTCCTTTATTGGCAGTAGGGCTTACACCTAGTATTAATGCTGCTTCCCGTTTTGTCATTTTGGGTTCAAACCCACCTCTGTAATAGCCACCACTGAAGGCAGATTTTGGTAGACTTTGAAAAACTTGTTTTACTTTAGGCTCCATATGCTTCATGGCTTGCAAAACATAACGGCCTGCAAATCCTGCAGCTGCAATGGTCAGTCCAACTGCTACCATTGTACTGGCCATGGCTGCTGCGGCTGGCTTCCCTCACTTCCACCGGGAGCCCGGCTCATCCCAGCGCAGAGACTGCGGCGGACGCCCGCACGCCCCGAGCAGAGCGATGCACCTCCCATTCATTCTTTTAATAAACATTTGTTAAGCTCCTCCTGTGTGCCAGGCAGTATCCTAGACACTAGGGTCACAGTGGCGAACAGGATGGACTAAATCCCTGTTCTTCCTCTAGCAGGGGGAGACAGACCACACACAAGACTGTGTGAGAGTGGGTGATACAGTAGCGTGGGGGTGTGGCTACTCAGGAGAAGGTAATGTGTGAGCTGGCACATGGAGAAAAAGCAAGCAGGGGCTACCAGAAGAGCCTGGTGAGAGTTCCAGCAGAGGGTACAAAGACCCCGAGGCTGGAAAGCGCCTGGTGTGTCTGCGAACTAGCAGGAAGGCCAGTGTCGCGGGGGCGGGAGGGCAGGAGAGGTGAGACCAGGAGGTGGGAGGGCAAATCAGAGGCCCATGCTTGGATTTCGCTCAGGTGCCATGAGATCGCACCCGAGGGAAATGAGACCTCATCACATGGCTTCTGAATGAAGAATGCACTGAGCATGCATGTGAACCAGCAGAGGCCCTTAGGTTCCAGCAGAGCTCAAACTTCCAGCTTTCCAATGCTAAAGAATTAGCTCAGTCTCTTCATGGGATTCCAGGTTCCAAGGGCCCCCTGTCCTGCTCTATCCAATATATATCCCCTCTACCCAGGTGGAGCCTGTCCCGTGGCCAGTACCATGAGAGCCTTACACTCTTCATCCACCTGGCAATGCTCCTCTCCAGGATCCATTTCCTGGTTGTAGGGGTGCGGTGTCCAGAATAGGAGGCACCAGAGCTCTTTCTTCTCCATGAGGGAGGGGGACAGCCCTTCCTCCCCAGTCTGCAGGGACCTGCAGGGATGAGCTAGCAGCAGCACCAAGGCCTTGCCAGTCTTTGTGAGGGCACACCACTTCACCACAGTGGTCGTTTGCAAAGAAGCAGGTGTGCTTCCTCCTTCAGGAAGCCTTCCTTCCAGGCTCCCCTCTACTTGCTTTCTGTGCTGTTATCACAGCCCACAGGTTCTGTGTCCTGCATGCCCCTCAACCCCTACCAATCTTCAAGGTCTATACCACGCCTATAATCCCAGCACTTTGAGAGGCCAAGGCAGGCGGATCTCGAAGTCAGGAGATCAAGACCATTCTGGCTAACACGGTGAAACCCTGTCTCTACTAAAAATATAAAACATTAGCCGGGTGTGGTGGCATGTGCCTGTAGTCCCAGCTACTCAGGAAGTTGAGGCAGGAGAATGGCTTGAACCCGGGAGGCGAAGGTTGCAGTGAGCTGAGATCATGCCACTGCACTCCAGACTGGGCAACAGAGCAAGACTCTGCCTCAAAAAAAAAAAAAAAAAGAGGCCGGGCACGGTGGCTCAAGCCTGTAATCCCAGCACTGTGGGAGGCCGAGGCGGGTGGATCACGAGGTCAAGAGATCGAGACCATCCTGGTCAACATGGTGAAACCCCGTCTCTACTAAAAATACAAACAATTAGCTGGGCATGGTGGCGCGTGCCTGTAATCCCAGCGACTCAGGAGGCTGGGGCAGGAGAATTGCCTGAGCCCGGGAGGCGGAGGTTGCGATGAGCCGAGATCGTGCCATTGCACTCCAGCCTGGGTAACAAGAGCGA